AGATGGCATTACAACTCCAAGCAAAGTAACTCCTTGTATCATTAGCTATTGAACCGCAGCTTGATGTGGGGATCAGTGTAAAGCTTATTAGTCTTTAGACAGTTGGCAGCAACAGCCACTGCAGCAACCGTTCGGGAGCAGAAGGAACTCATTCAGTTTAGTTGTTTTTCAGGTCATGTTAAGTCAAAATGTTTCCGTACGCACTCCAGTCCCCAGCTTAACCTTTCTCAGCCTCTCTAAGCGCAACTACGCTTACAAACAGCTTCGACTCACACACTCCTCTGATAAAGGGGGCTCCAGGATCGCGGCGCAGGTATCTAAAAAATTCCTGCCTGGTGCCATTGTGTAAGGATTTCACCCTACTTTGGAGAGCAAGGACTTGCCAAGAATACCACTGACCTCAGCCCCTACATTATGAAACAGCACTGCCAGCTCCAGCCAGCTATGTAAAAGTAGGGATTGAATTCAAATCCTGAGCCACCCGTACTCCGGGGCAATAACAAAACACACACACTGACACACAGAGGGAAAAAAAAAAAAAAAGAGAGAGAGAGAGAGAGAGAGAAGAAAGGAAAAAAGGAAAACCACATCACCGAAAAATTGTACTCTAAGTTCATTTTCTTTTCACCGGAAGCAACCTTCAAAACAAACCCAGCTGGCGTTTCTCCCTCTCCTTCCCCCAAAATTAGGGAGTAGGAGGAAAGTTGTCGCGTTAATGCGCGCCTTCCCTTCCCGGGAGCTGCCGACCGGGAATTCGGCGCTGGGGAGTTCGGCGGGGGCTGGGAGCGGGGTCAGCCGTGGCCGCGCCGCCCGAAGCGGGGCCGTGGGGCTCCGACCGCCCCGGCCGGGGCTGCGCGGGGCGGGCGGGGGCAGCGGGGCGGCCCCTCCGCCCGCGGGAGCCGCGGGGCACGGCGCGCTTACCTGGGGGCTGCGCTCCGCCGGGTTCTTCATCACCGCCTGGCGGAAGCTGTTATCCACGTAGGACGCCATCGCGCCCCTGCCGCCTCCCGCCGCCGCCCGGGAGGCGCTGGGGGAGGGCGGCCGCGGCCTGGCGCTGCGCGGCCGGAGCGGGCGAGGAGCGGGGAGCGGCGGCGCGCAGGCACCGCGGGCTCAGCAGCGCCGCCGCCCGGAGCTGCCGGCGGCGGCCGAGCCCCGCCGGGGGCAGCGGCGGCGACCAGGGCTCGGCGCTCCCTCCCGAGCCGGCTCTACGCCTCCCGCCGGCCCGCTCCGCCGCATCCCCTCGGGCACCGTCCTCGTCGCCTCCTCCCTCCTCTTCCTCCTCCTCCCATCCGGGCTGATGGGGGACTCCGCGCCCGCCTCGGCGACGGGGAAGTTGCCGGCTCGGGGAGGCGGAGCGGCGGGGGGCGGGCCGAGGCGGGACGGAGGAGGAGGGGGGGGCGGGTCGCCGGGGGTCGCCGCCGGCAGGGTCCCCTCCGGCTACGGTGCCTCAGCATCCTCCCCCTGGGAACACATCCTGGCCAGGTTTAACCACAAAAAAGAAGTCTGAGCGGCCGCCGCCATGGTCCCGAGGGACGCGCATCATCGCAGCTTCGGCGGTGCTCCCTGTGCACGGATACTGGTGATGGGCAACCTGGACGCCAAAAAAAAAAAAAAAATAAATAATAAAGACTTGATAAAGACTTGATCTGCCGAATCTAGTGACTTCGGGGAGGCCACCTGTTGTCACGCTTCTCAAAAGTAATCCGTATCAGCCGGCTGTCCCCTCTGTCATTGCTATGTGGGGCAAAAACGGGGAAGGGAGGGGTGTGAAATCGTTAATTTATCACTGTTCTGGGGGTTATCTAGCGGCGGATTCTTCTCACGTGAACTTAAGTTTTTAAAGAATAAAGGATCTCGCAACATGGCTGATTTTCTTTGTTTACCGCGACACCGAGCCCGTCTCAGCAGCAGCCTGACAAACGCCAACCATGGAAGTATTATTAGCGTGCCATTAGCGGCGGGGTAATACTATTAATGTATTTGCTTTCACAAGTGATGTGTACCCTTCGCTGATACGGATCACACAATGTAAATAATGTCAACACTAATAAATCTCTTTAATTCCCAGTCACTAGCAGTCACATTTCAATTCCAAGTAAGGTAGTGTCATCTTTATTTCATGTTTGTATTTGTGAAAATTCCCAGAGATAACCATCTTTTCCTTACCAAACATACACTGCTAGTCCCAGGAGAAAAAAATGTTACGCTTTTAGACACAAGTGGCTCTCAAAAATGCTGTGTCTTCAGACAGGAATCTACTAAACCTACTCAATTTCTAGATACGGCTCATTAACAAAGATAGCTCTTTGGGCTAATCCTACTCATATGTGTCAGCAAAATATTTTTGCAGTAATACCAATTATTCTGGGCAGATCATTGGAAAATACTAGGGAGTGCTCCACATTCTCTATATCTTGCTTATCGGTGCTTACTAGAAGTCCTTATGGGGGATTTTAATTTTTTTTTTTTTTTTTTTTAGTAACAGATTGAAAATGTCATGTCCTGTGCCCTAAAAAATAACAGTTTAAATATGCCTCGTGTTCATCATCCAGTGATGATAATAATTCCTTCAAATTAATCAAGCCTGCAGCTATAGAAAAGTGCCAGCTTTTCTGCAGCTCAGTTTACCAATCCGGAGTGCTGGAATGCCCTTTTTTTGGGGGGCATATGTATAGCAGGAGTGCCACAGGAATGTGAGGAATGCTCTCTTGGGCTTCACTCCTCAATCACTTCAGGGCACCCATTCCCTGCTGCTGCAGCCTAGCTTGCCTGACATCTTTATATCTCTACATCAAAACAGAGCTACCCACTCTATTTTAATATGCAATTATCTTTCATTTCAGACCTATTAGCTGTAACAGCATCAAGTCGAGTGTTTTGCTCTGGTTAATTTTTTGCTGTGCTGTCTGGTAACACAATACCTGTGATTCATAGGGATATTCCTCTTCAGAGAATGGGATTTCAGGGCTCTCATTGTATTCTGATCAGTGTCACAAATCTCGATGGTTATAGATCTGTGTCAAAGGCCTATAACACATTACGTGACTTGTTAGAAATGGGAATGAATGAAAGAAGAGAACTGTACATAGAGAACTATGTACAAATATACTCAACAACTTCTCAATAATATTTAAGGATGTGTTGTGTTAACACCTTTTCTTGTGTCTGTAAGCAACATATTTGTATAAAGCAAATACTTCTGATTATTCATATCCTCCATGGTGGATACTAGCATGTCCTTTATGCCATTTTTTTTTCTCTTGCTGAAATCAGTCTAGTTACTTCTGAATAGAAAAAAATAAACAATAAATCAGTAAATAATCATCAAGATTCAGAGTAAGGACAGTTATTACTTGAGAAAACATGCAATTATCTCCAGAAACCCCCATTTTTCACTGCAAGTATTCAACAAAACATAATTTACAGTGTCAAATGCTTTTGCAACTTACATTTTCTCTTAGTCTTACTGCCTTCCGGTTTTTCAGCTTCAACAAAAAAATCAGTATGATTTTAAATACACATATATACCAGGACATGCCATTCATTTTGCTTATTGGTTACTCTTCAGGATATATTATCTAGCTTTACCCTTATTTACAATGGATTGGGTTGGTTGGTGGTTTTTTTGTTTGTTTGTTTGTTTTGAGGGGGAGTGTTTTTCTGGTCATGGTAATACATTACACAGGTTTCCTACCCATCTTACACCAGGAAACCAAGAGTTAACTATACACATGCAGTTCATATAATGTTGCTATTTCAACAGTATGAAAACGCTGCAACACAAAATATGACAGCTCAGCATAATATCTTTTTTGGATAGCTAGAAGTAATAGCTATGTTATTTTATAGAAGTATTTTGCCTTAGAAAGACAGGGTATCTGCCCTCCTGAATATGTCCATTTCTTTCAAGTGGTAATTTGAAATGGTCAGGTCAAACAGTTACTAAAATGCTAAGAAAACAAATTCAGCAGTTCTGGGAACATTTTGTTCATTTGCTAAACCTCATTTTAAAGAAAATACACTTTGAAAAGCTTGCACTTAGCTTAGCCATATGACTTTCAATTCATTACACCTGTAGTTAGTCACCCACAGTTAGATGCTTGGCTTGCTTGGGATGCACCAGTCTGCCCTGGTAAGAAATAAAACACTGCCATTTTGAGGGAGTTTAGCATTATCAACAGTCTGTATGGTTATAAGCCCAGGGATGCTCCTTTCTCCCATTTCTTGGGTAAGTACTTGTTTCCATCTATCAACTGGAGATAGCACAGCAGGTGAAGCAGATTCATGCAGTCAAACTCCAGCCCTTAGAATTGCCCTACTCCTTCCCATATCTTTCTTCTTGGCAACCATAAAAAGATACTTCCATAACCATTCATGGAGGTAGACAGTTATTGGGGAACAGAGGTATTGGCCTGGTGAACCCCTCCAGAGTTGACCTTGAGAACAGTAGCCATCCCCTCTGGACTGGGCAGAAGCCAATTTTGTTGGATTTTAAGTAAAATATTAATTATTTTAGGTACAAGTAAGGCCACTACCAAGGAGAGAGTATCTTATCCTTTAAATAAGATTAGCCTCTATGCTCTCTCTTTAGGGTGGCATCATTTCCAAGAATGATTCCCACTTCTGGGATTTATACATGGCTGGGATTACTACCACTTGCAATTGCAGTTTTTAGTACCTTCTGCATTATGATGAAGGGCATATGAGTTTGCTTGTTTGTTTGTGTGGTTTTGTCTGTTCATTTTTTACATAACATGCTCTGTTATTGTGGATATTTGTTGTCCAGTAATCATTTATGTATGGGCGCAATATGGAACAACCACTCTGCACCTCTGATAGATAGAAGGCTAATTCAGACCATAGTAAAATAATTCTTGAATGTTTACCACAGGTTTTATGATCCTTTTATACTCATAAGATGTATGAAATTCTGAAGATTACAAAAGAGAACCTGGCCTGTGCCATAAAGGAAAAATCATCCTTTGTTTTGTTTTTTTTTATTGAAGGAAAAACAGAAGAACTTTTGACTACTATAATGCATTTCATGCATTTATTCAGAATTTGCCACTATTTGCATAGCTACATTTGGGCGTATTTATCATTAAACTTCTGCTGTAGCTGCAGATGTATGCAAACCAGCTCTAGCTAGTTAGATTAATACTAGAGAAACAGCATGTGCCGTCCAAGTATTTATATGATCTTGGAGAGGAATTCACAGTCCACACAGTGTTCCCTTCAGCTGTACTGATAAAGGTGCCCAAACAAAAGGAAAGGTGGCTGTACTGCAGCAGCACCCAGGAGGCACAGCAGAACTGTGCTACACACTGTGTGAGCACTGAACAAATCTGCAGCAGCTCTTGAAGGTCAGGTGTGTGTTTCTGAAGGTCTGGAACATCTACACAAACTTGCTCTGTGCTTGTGACCACGGTACAGGTCTGCCCCTCATCCCTCAGGAGTAAAAGTGAAGATGGGAGGTCTTCTCTCCTGGTACCCCGCTGGGAAGGTGTGCTCCAGACCTCAGGTCAACATCTGCCCCACCTTCCCCGTCTGTGAAAAGAGACACAAAAGTAGCAACTTTTAAACTTCTTAGGTATTCTGAGATACAAAGAAGCACAGTAAAGTGCTATTTCTAGTAACAGTAGCAGCAGCATTTTGAGGGGTTTTTTTAAACATAAAACTAACCACAGAGAGAAACAGTGAAATTGCATCTTTTGCACATCAGGATGTGTGGTGAATGAGGTTGGATTGGTGGGATGGTACAAAGCACACAGCAATAAGTCAGTGCTTCAGTCCTGGTGTGCTCTGGGACAGGCTGCCAGCATGGAGAGGTGCTCTGTGTGGGTCTCAAATTGCACCTGCTACACAGTGGCAAAAGTATCAGAGAGACTAAAGTGTCATTTTAGATAGATAACACTTTCTGAATAATGTATAGGTTAAAAAGGCACTCCACTCCTTTACAAATAGTCATCCATGAACTAATATAGCCAGGATATACATAAGAACAATTTCAACTGCTGAATGTATCTCATAACAGTTTCATGATCTACAAATTTGGTGTCACATATATTTCTAATAATATATTTCAGTAAATGACATCCCAAATAAGGAAAAAAATATTTCATTCTTACTCATTGCCTTTGAAATTTAAATGACTGAACAAATTAAAGCCCAAGCTTACATTTCACTGTTTTACCAATAAACCAATCTTTCCTAAAATAAAATACAAGCTCACTCTTTCTGAAAAAACTATAATTGCATTATTTAAAATAATCTTTTGAAGTTTCTACAACCCAAATATTACATGATTGTGCCAAAGTATCAAAAGTAGAAATTGTCTAAAAGTCAAATATAGATGGGATTACTATTTATTCAAAGCTGGCCAAGTCTTTAAAATAATTTAATTCATACATATTAATGATAGATAGCCAGATGATGATTATTGTCCAACAATACTGCTTTCCACAAAACACTCGATGATAAAGTTATCTAATAGATAATGCAGAATGATAAATAAAATATGTAAAGCTCTGCTAGGAAACTGAAAAACATAGGAGATAGGAGCTTTATTCCTGAATCAGGATATAAAATATTTATATGAGAAAAAAAATGTTGTTAACATTGTTTTTAAAACCATTTGGATTTGATACTAACAGCCTAATTTTCACTGGCTGCCCTCAGAAACCTTTTCATGTTTTAAAAGTCAGATATATCATATATCATATCTCATATATCATATATTATTATTATATATTATAGAAACATTTGTCTTCAGCTTTACTAGCTGTTTAAAAATATGAATATATTTATAACTTTTGGCATTACTTGAGGGCATTATTCTACAAATTAATTTTACAGCTGGTAGCATTTTTCCATAATGTATTATTGATTAATTATTCCAGATATCGCCCGTCCTCGCTCCAGCACCAAGCACTGCCTACTGCTCTGCTAAGTCAGCCCATACTGGAGCTATTCCTTGGACTGAGTCCCCAGACACCACATTCCTGTCAGTTTTCACCTCTTTACTCTTGTCACCATCTTCCAGAGAAATCATCCACGCTCCATCCTGCCTAACACACTGTGGTGAATCACAAACATGTTCCAATGTAATACTCCCGGCACTTATTAGAAGAGCATTTGCATTTACATTGCTTCCTAACAACCTTTATAAATTATTGCTTTGCCTTGAAATTAATAGTCATTGTGGATAATGTTTATGTGGCTCAGCCTTCTTCATCCTTCAGTCACCATTTAGATCTGTTCAAAGCATATGGGGATGTGTGGGTGTGTACTTAAGTGAATGTTTCTCTGCTGTGCATACATATCCTGGCAAAGCATATTCACACCTATATCATAATGTGACAAGTACTAGGTACCAATTTAAATGAATAGAACCAGTTTTAAGTTCAGTGAATTCTGTAAAATTACTTACAAATTAGTGATACCAGACTCCATCGATTTCTGTTCCATCTATTCTTCCAGGAAGAAACCATCCAGTAACTGGAATAAAAGAGTTTTAAAATAAAATTTTACTCTATCCAAAGAAAGCATATTCCAGGTAGATGGACGCTGAATTAAGCCACCAAGGTGATCTAAGCTTATCATGAAATTGTTTTGATCATTCTGGACAATTTAATGACAATATGCCTCACCTTGTGTGTGCAGAGCTCCTCACTGAACCTGTATTCAAAGAACATTCTTAATAGACAGATAATAAAAAAAATTACACACTTCAGGTTCAAAACACTATTATGACCAAATGTATTTCAGAGATTCTACAGTCTCAGTTAATGTCAGCAGTGAAAATTAAGGCTTTCTAGTCCTTTCCTTTTGTAATTAATTAATACAAAGAGATCCCTATTTCCACTGTAACCTTCAGCTTCTGTACAAATGCATAATGATAAACTCAAGGCTAAAATTCAGTTGGAGCAAGAAATCCTCCAGTAACACAGAAACAGAGATGTGAAGGACCAGATAAAAATAAGCAGTACTGCACTCTTAAGCAGTCACTAGCTCTGAGGTAGAAGTTTACACAATGTATTCCCTGTGTTTCTTGGATCTAAGACAGACAGCAACAACTTATCACTTTTCCTCAGGGTTTTTATGTTAATTTTGTTATTTGTTTCATTTATGTAACAGATACTCATAATACTCTTTAAACATTCAGCTGCTAGCTGTGATAAACACTATCTTCCTACTCCTGCAACAACTGATTTGTGCTGAGAACTTGCACCATTGTCTTCTTGTGCCACTGGTGGAAGAACATGGGAACACACTGCCTCTTTCACTTTTCCTTTCTAGAAAAAAAAATAAAATAAGAATAAAAAGCCTCTGTCTTTGTTGCTGTGCTTAGCAGAGCAAGTAGCAGAGAGAAGTTGCAGATGAAGATCTGTAGCCAACCAAGTATATCTTGTAAATAAGTTTTCTAGGTCAGGAAGAGAAACTGACATGTGGGAAGTAATTGGACAGAAAGAGGTAGTTGAGATTAACGCTTTGCGGCAAAGAGATGACTCTCTGGAAGATGTAACTTTTGAAAAATAAAAGAACTCTCAAAGATTTTATTGGAGGAAAATATTTGCCAAGAATTTTCCTTTTGTTTTTTAGGTTTTTAGGTTTTTGGGTTTTTTTAATTGGCCACTTACAAGTGGCACCTGCCATATGCTGGCACCTGGCTGGCATGACAAGAGCCCTGTGCACTGCCACTGTAACCACAGTCCAGCTGTGCATATTTAAATTTTGTCTCTCTTCCTTCAGCTCAAGCTAGCTGGAATGGAGACAATCCTATGTATTTAGTCTTTGGATAAGGAAGTCTTGAAATACTTCACAACTACCCTCCTGCAAATAAACTGGAGGGTGGAGATTGGAATCCAAGTACTCTTGTTTGTCACAAGCAGCATTCACATGAAGAAGCAGATTCTTCGGTGGGAGAAGAGTTCTTGAGAAGAGTTCCAGATAATTCTCCTGCTTCAGTGTATCTTTGTTTTACAGCCCACATCCTCATCTGATTAAAACTGAGACCAAAAATATTCTGCTTATTTAAAACAGCTAAGCACTCTCTCCCTGTCTCTGATCCCTGCTGGGCTTTTAGGGAGTTCTCATAGTGCTGCAGCAGAGGATGGACTCCAGCTAAAAAAAATAATGCATTGCTTGAAACCCCCAGAGAAACACACCTCTCTAAGGTGTGCTCAGCCGTGCCCAGGAAGAGCTGCATGATGAACAGCAAAACAATCTTGCCCCTGTTTGCCCAATGGCGACATCTGTGTCTTGTTAGTGACGCACGAGCTGTTAAAATAGTTTTTCTCTCAGGTGGAAGGGAGCTGTGTAACTTCATTCCGTTCATGTGAGTAGCTAACAACGTTGCCTCAAGCCTTTGCATTACTACTGCATACAGGTATGAGCTTAGATTCCTCTTGCTATAGAGCAAAGGAGTTGAAGCACAGCAGAAAATTTCAGCTTTAATTAACCTGTCTTGGTCCCTTGTGTTACAAAAATACTCTCAATGCTCCAGAAGTCAAGTATTTACATGGATACTTTGCTTATTTTCAAATAGACTTTCTGAAGTTTTATTTGAAGTACCTGGAATCTTTAACCCACACTCATCACTAATATACTCTCAGTGAGGGTCCCTCTCACCTTATATGTAAATGTCTGACCCAGATAGCAGGTTGACACTCCTGGTCAATGTAGATACAAGTGATTAAAAACACATAGAGCAGATCTTCAAAGTGCAAAAAAGGGTCTTTCAAGCAAAAATAGAATTTTTTAAAACCAATAATGCTACAGCTATTCAGTTCATTTGAATTTGGAGACCAATACTGAAGTTAGGGGAAGTATTTTCCTACTGTAGTTAGATCTTAAAAGACCTGTGCATGTGAGAATTAAATTGCACTTCATTTTATGGGAGCCTCAAACCTGAAGGTTCCAAGGCTAATCTTGTGGAAAATAAGAAAGGAATTTGTAGGTGGGTGAAAATGTATGGCATTTGAGAAAAATTGGACTAGAGTGGCCTGAACCCATTTTGTAGTGCTTGCAGATCTTTGTTTTAGCAAATTTTAAGGAGAAATAAAAGTACTGAAGATATCCAAAGTAATACATAGCTTTGAGCTATTCACTAAAATATCTCATGGTATGACCACATATATGTCTTTTCTTCAAAACCATGCAGGTAAGTAGTGGCCCTGAAAAAGCTTCTCTTAACCTTAACCCAAATGATAAAGGTTAAATCTTATGGTATCTCCATCTTCTAGGAAGCATTTGCAATCCTTTTGAAAGCAACTGAAAATACTTAATTGGCCTAGATGCACTCACTTGCACAATTATAAAGTGAAATAGGGTAGCTGGCATTAAAGGCTGAGGATGTAGAAACCATAAAAATGTGATAACTTGTTCCACTTTTAATTTCCCTTAAGAAAAATTTCTTTAATTTATGTGCCCATCGTCTCCCTGAATTTACCTGAAACACTGTATAGTAGTCATAAAGCCAGAAGATTACTCACTTTCCCTTTTTCTCCAGAGTACTTTGTGGGGCCAGATAGCTTTCCCAGGCAAATAAGAGAGAGATAAGATAGAATGTAAAAGTATTCTGGGGAAAAAAAAAAATGGGGTTAAAAAAGCATGGCTAGTTTATACCATTCCAATCCTTCACCCTACTCTTTGCAGCACTAAGAATGCAGTCCTACCTGACACACCAGGGAGTTCAGTTACACTCAGCTTCTTTCCTGAGATGCTGCAGAGTCCTTCATTCAACTGACATACCTGTGCAAATATGCACTTTGTGAAAAAAAAAACAATAATCTGAAAGAAAGCAAGGCTGCATCAAAAAGCAGGGAAGATGGAACAGAATTAAAGTATACCCTTGTTTTAGCCTATCAAGCTCTACCCTCCTCAGGGCTTGGGCTAGACAGGCTATCTGTAATCTGTTTACCCAGAAAGCATAAAGTAGGTGTATGTCTGTGGAGCAAACCCCTGTACCTGCAGACTCCCCCTAGCAGCTAGCCCCTGCTGCTTTATCCAGAAGAGCCAACCTAGTTTAGAAACCACATCCCAGAGTGGCCCTGGCCAGGTTATGTGTGCTGGTCAACACTGGAAACTTCCACTGCCTTGTCAGTGCAAGGTAAAGCACATCAGCACAGTCATGCCAGTAGCTCAGTGCAAATACATCATTATAGAGATATCTTTTGCTGCTACAGCTTATTTCAGCCTCCTCACTAAGATGAGGTACAATATTACAAGAACTTTCAGTGAAAGGGAGTTCATACTGGGACTGTTCAGGTTACTGGAGCTGTTTTAATTATAATCATGCACTCAAAGCAGAGGAAAAAAAAATAATCCTGCACTGTCCTTTCAACTGAGAAGGCATTTTTCATCATTCTTGCCATAATCATTTCCCTCTGTTTTAAAGTATGGTTTGAGGCAAATGCTCCAAATCTTCTATCAAATTTGAGTCTCTTTGACGATCCCTGTAGGCTCCAGTTCTGCTGTATTAATTGAAGCTTAGTGCAGTAGCATATTTGGCCTCATAAATTTTAGAAATGCTGCATTTTTATCTAGTAGTAGTATAACCTGAGATACATTTTAATTAATTTTTGATGTCACTAATCACTTCTTTCATAGGGAAAGGAATGTTGCCGTGGTGAAGTCTTTTAACTTATTATTTTCATAGAAACACATCACAGAAGAACATTAGGAAAGTGTAAATAATTCCTTCCTTTATAATGCTTGCTGTGCTATACATCTTTGAACAAGTTACTAACATGTGTCCCTCCTTGTTATAACACATATAACAAAACTTGGGCACCTACCTTGCGGGGGTGTTTTGAGGGCTGGAGCTTGTAAAGTCCTTTTGAGGATGAAAAGCTTTATGTGAGTATTGAACACTAATCTCAGCCATGTGGACAAGCCGTGCACATTCAAAGTAAAAACCTTTCTAATAACATCCATCTGCATCTTGAATACAAGAAAGAAATTGTAAGACAGCCTGTCAATGATCAAGGCTTTTTCATGCAGCTCACCCTACTGTTTGGCAGCTGGCCAGCTCAGAGAGCCTACAGAGGAAAATGGCTCCGAAGGAAAAAATGTGCATGTTAAGCAGAGGACAGCTTTTGTGAAGGGTGAGAAAAAACAAGACAAATACCCTTGAATACCAAAGTGCTCTCTGGTACATGAAGGAATGAAGTGAGATGAACTGTAAGGAAGAAACTACAGTAGGCAGGAGCCTTCTCGCTAAAGATAACTCAAGTCTGTTTGCACTAAACTGGTGAGATAAAACACATTTCCACTTAAGGACCAAGACTGCTTTACATTAAGGATGTTTCTTTTGAAAGAGATTGGGAGAACCAAGGAAGGATTTATTTGGAACTGCAGCACCTAAACCAACTAAGAATGCATGTCAGCCTTCAAAACTCTATTAATGATACCATAAAGTCTTTCAAAATAGTATGTGAGGCAACACAGTACGATCCGAGCACACTGAGGGGATCTGGGCAGCTCTTCTTCAGAGG